TTCTTGGGGCACTCCCTGCTCATGTAACCCAGCTGGACACATCCATAACATACCGAGCCTGCTACCCTGCTACCCGACAACCCGACAGGTTCCACTAGCGGCTTGCCGCACTTAGCATATCGGCCCCGACCCTGTTGGCCTCTATTGGGAGGATTGGAGGTCTTAGGCTTCTTAGCCTGACCCACCGCCGTTTGAACCTGCTCTAGCTTCTGCTTCATACGGAGCTCTAACTCGATTTCCCACTCACAGGTCTTCTCAATCATGTCATTCAGGGTTTTGCATCCTAAGAAACTCACAAACTCTTGGATATCATCTCTCAGCATATCATGATATCTCGTCTTCCCCATCTCCTCATTTGCAGCATACTACGGAAACGACAACGCCCTCTCCCTAAACTTAACAGTGATCTCCGCTACATTCTCTGTGGTTTGGTGAAGGTCTTGGAACTCCCTCACCAGCTGCTACACGCCGACACCACTATGGCCAATGCAAACTCCCGATCACACCATCACAAAAAATGCTCCCATGTCATCATAGCCACAAATGTCGTCCCTGCCTTGCGGGTAGCCTCCTTTCACCAGTCCTGCGCTTGGTCCCTCAACATACAGGATGCGAATCCCACCTTTGCCGCATTGTGCCAAAAGCTCATGCGTTGAACATTCTCCATGTCAGCGATCTAGCGACGACTAGTGATGGGATCCTTAACCCTAAATCAGGCGCACCACACACCTTGAACTCCCAGGATGTAGGAGTTCGATTCCCAATATGTCCCGTACTGATCTAGCTCAAAAAGACCTGAGCCGCTCCTCTATAATCTCCATGATCCCCTCATTGACGGAACCGAAAATCACCGGGGTAGCGTCAAGGATGCCACGAGTAACCTCGGTTACTCGCGCAATCTCTCATAAATCGGCTCTGCACCCGAGCTCGAACCCGATCCTGAACCTGATGCGAACCTGAACCTCCTCGTGTAGCCATCACCATCCTCAACTGAAAATACAACATATAAAACAATTGATAAGGACGTTCGAAAGGATTCCTCCCCACCGGACTCCTAAGAGCTTCCAGGTCTGTCCTTGTCTCGGGTGTAGGTCATGTACTTTCAGTAGTACGGGCCCAATACTACCTTCCACACCTACCTATACCTTCCTCAAGGCCATACCTGATACCTCTAATTCACCCAACCATAGATAAGACATGACCTACAAAACACAACACATACGTAAATCACAGACTCTTCTAGGATTTCTCAATTCTCATAGAACCAGAAACCTCAATCAACACCACAGGTTACCCTATGCATGCAAGTTATGCATAAGTAGAATCATATAAAGCTTTTACCCTAAGACCACAACCAAACAAGGAATAGGAAATAAGGCAAAATTCATCATTCTAAAGTTATGTAATCCTGAACATATATAACTTTGAAAGCATACACTTAACAAATAATAGAGTGAACATCGATTCCAAGAAATATATTCATAGCATGGTTAATATATTAGGAAACACTTACTTGAGCTCAGCCGATTTCGCGAATTACGCTCTCCTTTTTACTTAAGAAAACTGTTTTCAGAAAAACTTGTCGTTTGTTTCTTTTGAAAAGGATTACTATTTCCTTGGTTTGAGTTCTGATACACCCGAGAGTGTGCCCGAATCCCTCAAACCAAGGCTCTAATACCAATTGTAACAGCCTAAAAACCAGATAAAAAATTTTCATTTTTGAAAATACAATGCAGTCATAATTTTTCCCCAAAAATCCATTACATCATATTGTATCAAATATCATAGTATCAAAATAGATAAATACGAAAAGTACTTGAGAGTGAACGATGTGCCATCAAGCGAGGCCCTTCCACTTAGTATTGGAAGTACCTAAAAACACCCAAATAAACCATAAGCAAAAGCTTAGTGAGTTTCCAAAATATCACATAATATACAACCACAAAATACTATGCAACATACATAAAGTTGTCACGGGCTACCCACATGGTCGGATATCTAAGTGTCATGGGTTACCGTCGTTGTTTTTACCTGGAATTCCATGGACTACCCTTATGGTCTCTGAATATACACAAGATACCCTAATTAGAATTAAATCGTGAATTCGAGACATAGGACCAAAATCCTAAGCCCAAACTTCTCCAATAAGGACCAAAAGTCTTTCCTTCAATAATGAACCTAACACCCAAGGTCTAAAGCAATAATGGACCACAAAACCTAAAAGGCCCAACGATACCACCTATGGTCCAATAACAAGCTCAAAGGCCCAAACTCTAATAGGTCCAAGCCCAAGGTTAAATAGGGTATAAATGGCTCAAGAACCCATTGGAAGCCAAAAATCCACTAAAAGCATCGCCCAACGTACATCTTCAGTACACTTAGCGTACTAGGTCCTATGGCGGTACACACGGTGTACAAACAAGTACGCCCAGGCGCCCAGCGTACAAGTTGTTTTTGCACCAACAACCATTAAGTGCTTAGTACGCGAAGATACTTCGTCCAAAACCATATCTTGGTTATTTCTAAGGTCTTAGGGCATAAAGTTGGCAACTTTATGGTTTTGCATGCCATATGGGTACCCAACACCACATTTTAGCCCTTAAGACTTCCTTTAAGACCTTAAACTCTTGCATGATGCCATAACAACCATCAAGTTAGCATTTTTTTTTTCCTTTTAACATGGAAAAAGAGTTCAGATCTAACATTTCTAACCTCTAGACTTACTCAAACTCACATGAGAGGACCCATGGACCAAAAATTGACTCATTACTAAACCCTAACTTAAACTCACAAAAGAATGAGCAAGATATGAGCTTTTTACCTTCTAAATCTCCTCTAGATGATCTAGATGCAAGATCCAAAAGCTTTCTCACATTCAAGGCTTGATCATTACTTCCTTCTTCTTGCTAACAAACCAAAAAGGGTTACCATTTGTACTTTCAAGCTTAAATATCATTCTCAAAGATATCTAGGGTTAGAGGGACGCTTGAGGGTAATGGAGGCTGGTAAGGAAGAGGTTCCAAGGTCATAAATGAGCTTAAATAAAGTTAAATTTAATCTACTCCTAAGCTAACAACACCTATTCCACCTATATCCACGACGGGACTTGAACCATCGACCTCAAAGAGGGAGGGCACCACCTGATACTGCTGGGCTACAAGCCCTTTGGTATCAATTTTCATTAATGATTTCCAGCTTTTTTTTTTCTGCCTAGAAGGCTAGAACCCATTATTAGTCCATTAAGGGTTGCCCATTATTTATTTAATTCATTAGTCCATCAATTAAGTCTGATAGTAATTTATTCTACTTAAATCAATTGACGGTTCCTTTCGTCACGCCTGATTAAGATCACATTGGCAATTAGGCATCATGTGTAAAACCCATGCTACCATCATAGAACGCCGTAAAACATGTCTTTACTACATAAACGTAACATCATTTTTGCCAATGAAAACATGTCAATGTATCAACTAAAATCCTTCTTCGTGTAAAACATTTATTTAGTACATACTAGGTGTGAGACCCGTGTATTACACGGGTTAATTTAAAAAAGATTAAATATTAAATGAAAATATAAACGGAAAATATTGTTTAACGTACAACTTTAAAATAAGAAATGAAAACGTATTTATTGCAATTTAATATGATATTTAATACTTTACATATATAAATATATGAATTTAATTTTAAAAATTGAAACAAACCAAAAATTAACAAGTGGATAATATTTATTTTAAAAATACCACAAAATGACAAGTGTCAAAATTAATGAGGGGTTGACATGTGGCAAAAAAACCTTCATTTATTAAGGAGGATATATCTTAACTTTGATTTTGCTTCCAACCGTGTCAGAATTACTAGCTTTCTATTAAATTATCATTGAAATACTTGTATTCAGAAGTCTTTCACATTTAAAAGACTTCCTATTACACCTATGATGGTAATGAAGTCGCACCCTAATCATTCAAAGTTTGTACAAAAGACTATTGGTGAAATATATACTTAGCAAAACGCTAGAACATGTTATGTGACTGCCACTGATTTTCTGTATATATAGATTAAGTTTCTTTAACGTGGACATTTCCACAAAAAATTCAATTCAATGTTACATAAGTCTTTAAGTTGATTAAAAGTTAAAACACCATTTTGAGCTTAAATAGAAACCTAAGACAAAACAATGGACATACAATAATTCGATTTCTAAAAAGCCATACTTTCCAATTTTGTAAAATTCAACTTGTGGTATGCTATGCCATGCATTTTCATATCCTCACAACATCATTAGAACCACGTGACATGTGTTTTTATGCCCTTATATCAGCTAGCTCATGCTATTTCATAACAGTAGTATCAAAATACTTGGATATGTATGCCTGTCAATTTCTTGTTGCTTGTAGCCAGGACCGGTCCTGAAAAATAAAATATTCTTAAAGATCCAGGACGAACAAGAAAAAAAAGGGCCCTTATCTTTATTATAATTTTGTATTTCTAAATAAAAATATATAATAAAAAAAATTGAGCCCGCCCACTTTGCCCCAACCTCTAAGCCCCCCATGCTTGTAGCTTATGCCTTGCAACAAAGCATATGAGGTTTTTGAGAGTGTTTATTATGTTTATAAGTTCAGAATGTTGAATAAAACATCCACATCCCTTGATATATATGTTTATAAGATAACTGATTGCATTACCTGTTCTTTTTGCTAACTTAATTGTACTTTCATTTCATGAGGGTTGAAAAGTTGAGAGTTGGTTGCCTAAATTGAAAAAATCCTGGAATATATATATATATATATATATATATATATATATATAATATATATATATATATATATATATATATATATATATAAAGTTCTAAATAGAATTTTATTTTTCCAAAAAGTTGGCCACCTTGAATAGTTACAAAAGTTGGATAACTTATTGGGCAATTTTCCATTTTTGAAGGCGGCAATATAATTGATTGGATGGACTGATATGTTATTTAAATGGGAATTCTACAGTGTGGAGCTTATCCTTTCTAGGTATCAGAAAAGCATCCTTGGGACAGAAGAAGAGAGAAGCACCCAAGAAAGGGCTTCCCAAGATTATATGGTAAGTAATTAATTTACTATCTATAATTTAAATTTTGTGTTGAATCTTTGATCAGATCTCACCAGATCTTAACGCTAAAACTTTCCATCTCACAGGAGGGAACTAACCACACCTGCACAAGATTCCGAACATGCAAAGAGCTTCTAGAATCAGTGAGAAGGTAAAAAAAATCATGATGGATCGATGCACTCACAATATATATTATGGATATGTTAAACCCAGACCTTGACAGGGTTGATGAAGAAGGAAATAAGGTATCTGTGAGTGACATGACAGAGTTAGAGGAAGAACTTAATGCTGCTCTTATGCACACGAGATCTAGAAAGGTTCTTATTTCTGTTTATGATATTGTGCTAGCTTGTAATTGTACATATAGTTTTGTTTTGTTGTGTTGTGGTACAAATACAATGTTCTGTATTTAGATTGACAATATATAATAATTAGTAATGTTTGTTTGCAGACACAATTGATGATGGAGCGAATATCGAGCCTTCATGTACAGGTAGGTACTTTACTTTTCCTCCATACATACATACATACCCTGTGGTCTGCGTGTTATATAATCTAATAATCTAAACAATTTTTCATACATTGTTAATATAGGAAAAGAAATTAACAGAGTAAAAGGAAGAATTGAAGCAGAAGGTAAATCAATTACATGGAGCTCTATATTTGTTTTTGATTGGATTGGATATGTGAGAAAAAAGAAAGTAAGAGGAAGAAGAGGTGATGAGAATGAGATTAGATGTTGACTTACAGTGACAGTTACAATATATTACAGGTGGCATCAGCAGCAAAGAAGAAGGAATATTTCGACGATGGTGCAAGTAGCCATTGCTACAAGACCAATTCACCTCAACTACTTATAACACTCCCTCTCTTCAAGGAGGATTAATCTTTGAGTACCCACCCCTGCAAAATCAATAAAACAACTTTGGAAAAAATATAATATATACTCTGCATGTAGTAGTAAAGAAGGGGAGACTTTGTGCATATTATTGATTCATCACTAGACGCTTGTGCTCTTGCTGTATCATTCGACTTTATGTTTTATTCTAATGCCGAATTACTTTTTTTTTTTTTTCCAAAAACTTCAAGCTTATATTGGTTTCTTCAACAGTTGGCCTCTTTTTGAAAGCTACGATGACACTCTATCATAGCATGCCCTGCAAGAGAGCTTACCTCCCCCTCCCTCTACTTTGATTTGCCCTTTATTGGTTTTTATAGAATGCGTATTCACTTGGTTAATACAGAAAGAGAAACAACAAATCTTGTTTGACCTACCCTCAAACACTACAAGTGTTCAAATGTTAAAGGTTCCATATTACAAACTATTGTAGTGTTCAAATGTTAAAGGTTACATATTACAAACTAGGTGTAAGATCCATGTAATACATGAGTTTATTTAAAAAAAAATTAAATATAAAATTTTAACAATTTGAAATGTTTGAATTTATAAGAAAAATAAGAAAAATTTTAAATTATTAAAATTAATGACACTTTAATATATTGAACACATTACATATATAAATCATTTCTAATAAATACCTTACATATATATTATCTTACATATTAAATGTGAAATTTTAATTTAATAAATACCTTACATATATATTATCTTACATATTAAATGTATCCAAATGAAGACGAAGAGGACATGTGACAAAAAAACCTTCATTTATTATAGTAGATAGTAGATATGTTACGGACAATAATATATGTATATTTTCTATTTTATGTTTCAAACATAAATTGTGATGGAGGTCATACGTGGAAGGAGAAAAATTGAGCCAAAGCACTAGGTGATGGAATTGGAATTGAACATTATATATATATATATATATATATATATATATATATATATATATATATATATATATATATATATATATATATATATATAGGCTCAGGTTCATTTGAGATCATTCTAATGTTGTGAGACCGTGAGATGAAATCTAAAAATAATTTTAAAATGCAAAATAAATGGAAAAATCTAAAAATTAAATATTATTTTCGGAACTTGAATTAACTAAAAAAATTAAAAAAAAACCGTTTTTTTTTTTTTTTTTTGAAAAATACGTGAAATATTCTAATAGAATATTACACTGACTTACTCTAAAAAATAATTTTAAAATGCAAAATAAATGGAAAAATCTAAAAATTCTTTTTTTTTTTAAATATTATTTTTGGAACTTGAATTAACTAAAAAAAATCTCATTTTTTTTTAAAAATACGTGAAATATTTTAATAGAATATTACACTGTATATATTCTAAAAAATAATTTTAAAATGCAAAATAAATGGAAAAATCTAAATTTTTTTTTTTAAATATTATTTTCGGAACTTTAATTAACTAAAAAAAATAAAAAATAAATAAAAAATAATCCATTTTTTTTTTAAAAATACGTGAAAAATTCTAATAGAATATTACATTGTACATATTCTAAAAAATAATTTTAAAATGCAAAATAAATGGAAAAATACAAAAAAAAAAATTAAATATTATTTTCGGAACTTGAATTAACTAAAAAAAATTAAAAAAATATAAAAAATAAAAAAATATGTCTCACGGTCTCACAAAATATAGGTGGTCTCAAATGAACTTAACCCTATATATATATATATATATATATATATATATATATATATATATATATATATATATATATATATATATATATATATATATATATATATATATATATATATATATATATATATATATATATATATATATATATATATATGGATAAGTTCTTTCTTAATATACTCTCTTGATTTTGACATATCTTTTTAAGAAGAGGAAAAGAACAAAAGGTAGAAGGATAAATATCATACACATCTTCATACTCGTTACATGTTCTTAATAAAAGTCAAAATTAAGAGATGAAATTAAAAAAGAAAAAAACTAGTGATGTTTACATGTCATTATTCTGAATATGATTAAAAGACTAGATGATATTTATCTTTTCTATATTTAATCACTTATTTATTAAACTCAGTTTGGAACCTCGACTGACTTGTTCCCACGGCTCGCTTATAATTAGTTAAGCACTTAAACCACATAGTGTAGATAGATAGACGTATGAGGTTGTGATGACATGTATTTGTTTTTCTAGACAATCTTTTATTGATAATCGGTTGGTTAAATTTGGTTGCATGATATATTACTTGATAATAACAATGCAATCTTTTGTATAAAATGATTAAAAGTTACTGCTCAGTTAGTTTTCTCTTTTCCTTCTATTAGTCCTCTATTTATTAGGTCAAAATAAGTGTTAAAACTAAAAATAAAAAATAGAGTAAATTACACGAATGGTCCCTATGGTTTGGGGTAATTTGCGCGTTTGGTCCCTAACTTATTTTTTTAACTCGGAAGGTCCCTACTGTTTGTTTTTGTTACGCGCTTGGTCCCTAATATTTGTTTTTGTTACACGCTTGGTCTTTTATGTATGATAGGGACCAAGCGCGTAACAAAAACAAACAATAGGGACCTTCCAAGTTAAAAATATAAATTATGGACCAAATGCGCAAATTACCCTAAATCATAGGGACCATTCGAGTAATTTACCCTAAAAAATAGTTAAATAATTAAAAAAAAAAAAAGATTAAGAATTAGGATAGTGATATCTAAATGTCATCATTTTATATAAATACGAAATTAAATAAGAAGAAAAAATAGAAAAGATAGCTAATTTTTCATGAAATGATGGTGCTAACCCATTAAAGCTTATATCATTATATACTTATAAAGGAAACATTTTTCCAAGCACCACATTCATTTGAAACTTTCATGCATTTTTTCTTTCACCACATTTATTTGAAACTTCCATGACTTTTCAATTTCTTTCTAATAATAATTATAATTTGGTTAATTAGGTTAAATAAATATCAAACCTAAAGTGTAATCATATATAAACTAATTTTCAATATTAAAATAATATATTTACTTCTACTTATAAAGTTATGTTGTTTAACTTTTAACATATTATATTTTATTTATTAATTTGAATATGTTGTTGGATGTAAACCATTAGAATTTTAAAGATACAATTTTGGAAAAATTTGTATAAAATACTTAAATTATTAATTTAAATATAACATTACATGATCAACTTAAATATAAATTTTACTTTAACTTAAACAACCCAAAGAGTATTTGTAAATAGTTAAAAATGATAAATTGTAGTCTCTTTCTAATAATAATTATAAGTTGGTTAATAAGGTTAAATAAATATCAAACTTAAAGTGTAGTCATTAATAAACTAAATTTCAATTTTAAAATAATATCTTTACTTCTACTAATAAAGTTATATCTTTAACATTTAACATATTATACTTAATTTATTAGATTTAATATGTTGCAATATGTAAACTCTTATCAATTTAAAACTACAACTTTTGAATACTTTGGACAAAATACTTAAATTGTTAACTTAAATATAACATAACAATGTCAACTTAAATATAAATTTGAGTTCCATTTAAAAAGCCAAAATATATTTTGTAAATAGTTAAAAGTGATATATTATAGTAATAAATGGAAAAAACTAAATTGTAATATCAATTTAACTAAAATATTTCCTAAAGATATTTTTATAATTGTTAAAAGTTTTCAAATAAGTAGCTTAAAATAAATTACGTCAACAATAGTTAAAAATAACTTTATATAAATGATTATATTGTTATCTTTAAAATAAAATAAAAAAAACAATGTTTGATGTTTTAAATAATTATAATGATAGAAAATAAAACATTAAAAAAATAAATTTTATAAAATTAATTAACAATAACAACAACTATAAATTACATTAAACCATATATTATATTTTATTTTACTCATGAGTAACTCGCGGGTAGACGTCATTTAAATGATTGAGATTATGCAGTTATCATAGACGTATATATTATCATATAATTCAAAATAATCAATATATTATATCAATTTAGTATACGAATTGTTATATCAAATTTAACAACGACGTTATTGTTATATTTAAAAAAAAAAACATATATTTTTACAGACTTCAACTATATAGGTGTTTCTATTCATTACAATGTCAACTTAAATATAAATTTCAGTTCCACTTAAAAAATCAAAGAATATTTTGTAAATAGTTAAAAGTTATAAATTGTAGTGATGAATGCAAAAACTAAATTATAATATCAATTTAACTAAAATATTTCCTAAAATTATTTTTATAATTGTTAAAAGTTTCCAAATAAATAGTTTAAAATAACCTACAATAACAATAGTTAAAAATAACTCTATATAAATGATTGTATTATTACCTTTAAAATCAAAAAGTAATGTTTGGTGTTTTAAATAAGAGTAAATTACTGAAATCGTCCCTGTGGTTTGGTCAAACTTACACGTTTGGTCCCTAACTTGTTTTTTTTTTTGCACTCGAATCGTCCCTGTGGTTTGATTTTGTTGCGTTTTTCATCCCTATGGTTTGGTAAAAAAATGCATGTTTGGTCCCTAAATTTATGTATGTAAGGGACGAAAAATGCAACAAAATCAAACCACATGGACAAAAAACGCAACAAAATTAAACCACAGGGACGATCCGAGTGTAAAAAAAAAGTTAAGGACCAAACGTGAAATTTTGACCAAACCACAGGGACGATTTCAGTAATTTACTCTTTAAATAATTATAATGATAGAAATTAAAATATTAAACAAATAAATTTTAAAATTTAATTAACAATAACAACAATAATAAATAACATTAAACCATATATTATATTTAATTTTATTCATGTGTGACTCGTAAGTAGAAGTCATTCAAACGATTGAGATTATGAAGTTATAATAGATGTATATTTTATCTTATAATTCAAAATAGTCAATATATTATATATCAATTTAGTATACAAATTATTATATCAAATTTAATAACATTGTTATTGTTATATTTAAAACAACATATATTTGCAAAAACTTCAACTATATAGATGTTTTTGCGCAACGCACGGGCATTCATCTAGTTTTCTAAATAATTCAAAACACAAATATTGTCCTTTTGAAATATCATTTCCTTGTCATTTTCGACATAAATAA